GAAAGAAACCAAAGCTTCACTCTGATTCGCAGAGAGAAACGCGAAGAACAGAAACAGCTCTCTGATGAGATGATTTTTCCACAAAGCTTTTAAACTTTGATTATTTTTTCGTAAGCTCCTTTCTTCCTCACATTTCTTCTTTCTATTATTATAATATATTAATCTCTTAATTACCAACCAAACCAAACCCCCTTTTGTTCTGTCTTCTCTGAGCAGATAGAATCATGAACAGATCAAGATCGAAGATTTCATCTGTTCTAATTCACCGTGTTTGATTCTTTCCCCCTTTTTTTGCGAAATTGGGTCGGAATCTGGGAGATTTGAAGATCTGAAAGCTACCAACTTTCCTTGTCTTAATGACAGATTTGATTAGGTTACTGTCTGAATCTACAACCTGAATCCATTTCTCATCTGGGTTTTGTGAATTAGATTGGTTTAGATTCGAAAGTCCAAGACTTTATCCCGTTTAAAATTCAAAGATTGTAGCTTTCGAAGACCATGTCGGAGAATCGTTCACCAGATTCGTGTTTGAGTTCACAGGTTTTCTCTAAACTCACCAATGGCAAAAGAGCTTTGGAGGTTTTTGGTGATGAGATTAGACCAACAAAGTCACTTAAACTAATGGGTTTTTGTATTACTTACGATAGTGATTCCTCTGACTATTCATTGAGCGAGGAAGAATCAGATTCTAGCAACAACAACAACGGTGTTGATTCATCTGATTCACATTCTCTATTCAACGAGATTGGTAGAGACAGCTCAATAGACTGTCTGCTCCGTTGTTCACGGTCTGCTTACGGCTCCATTGCTTCCTTGAATAGGAACTTCCGTTCTTTGGTAAAGAGTGGAGATATCTATAAGTTAAGGAAGCAAAACGGGTTTGTGGAGCATTGGGTTTACTTCTCATGCCAGCTTCTTGAATGGGTTGCGTTTGATCCTGTGGAGAAGAAGTGGATGAAGTTGCCAACGATGCCTTCTAGTGTTACCTTCATGTGTGCAGATAAGGAGTCTTTAGCCGTGGGGACGGATCTTCTTGTCTTGGGAAAAGATGATTTCTCTTCTCATGTTGTATATAGATACAGTCTTTTGACTAATTCTTGGTCTTTTGGTATGAAGATGAACTCTCCGAGGTGTTTGTTTGGATCAGCTAGTTTTGGAGAGATTGCTATATTCGCTGGTGGGTGTGACTCTCAGGGGAAGATTCTTGATTTCGCTGAGATGTATAACTCTGAGCTTGGAACTTGGGTGACTCTTCCGAGGATGAATAAGCCGAGGAAGATGTGTTCTGGTGTTTTCATGGACGGGAAGTTTTACGTCATTGGTGGTATAGGCGGTGCTGAGTCCAAAGCCTTGACGTGCGGCGAAGAGTATGATTTAGAGACGAGGAAATGGACTTCAATCCCTGACTTGTCGCCTCCGAGAAGCCGTGCTGAGCAAGCTGGTATGTCACCAGCAGCTGAAGCGCCGCCTCTTGTTGCTGTTGTGGATAATCAGTTGTATGCTGCTGATCATGCGGATATGGAGGTGAGGAAGTATGATAAGGAGAAGAGGAAGTGGTTGACTATTGGAACGTTGCCTGAGAGAGCTGGCTCGGTTAATGGATGGGGGCTTGCTTTTAGGGCTTGTGGGGAGAGGTTGATTGTTATAGGTGGACCTAAGAACTCAGGAGGTGGGTTTATAGAGCTGAATTCTTGGGTGCCAAGCCAAGGTGGTCCACCGGAATGGACGTTGCTTGATAGGAAACATTCTTCTAATTTTGTGTACAATTGTGCGGTGATGGGTTGCTGAAAACAACACTACTCTCCATTTGAAAGACACTCAGTTCTTTGTTGATGGGTCAAAAAAGACTCCATTGAAGGTCCCAAGGTCCAACCTTTATGTTTCTTCATCTTCCATATTTGTTTTTATTACAAAAAAAAAATTCAATTTGAATACAATCATCTCTGTATTGTTAGAGACCAGAAAGGGTCCTTAAAAAGGAAACTGGAACAGGTTATATAATAAGTTGGTTAAAAGTTGAAGCTGTTTTAGAGTTTGCCAGATATGGTTAACATTGTTGTATGTGTTTTTAATCTGTTTATTTTCTAATTATCTGCCTTTTGAAAGTTCTTATATCTATAGCCATGTTTGAGTCTTTGTTCACAGTTTTTGCTTTTCATTTTTCTTACATGTCGAATCGTTAGATTCACTTTACAAGGTTGGATTGGAAGTGTTTGTTTATTTTATGACGCCAAAAGAAAGTGTTCACTTTTGTTTTGTTGTTGGGGCAAATGTGATGATGGTCTTTAGTTGGATGTATCCTTGAAGATATCTCAATCTGTTGTTTGCAAGTTACGTTTTCGTTAAGAATGTTTTTGTTGGTCTTTAAGCTTTTTAGGCTTATTTAGATTTGGAGACTTGCTTCTGAAATAAAAGAGTTTTACTTGCTATTCTTATAGCAAACTAAATTTCTCCTCTTGGATGATACAGTGACTTGAGGGGTTGTTGATGAACAACATCAAGGATGGGCTATAGACCTTTTCTTCTATTATTGTCTCAACAAGTTCCTTGGAATCGGTTTCACATGTGACCTGATATCTAAAACCTTGCCGCATCTCCATACCTTTTAGTTCCTAGTTGCAGATATGAACCTGAAGATGTGAACTCAAACACGTATAAATTGAGTCATGCATGTATACAAAAAAAGTAACTCATGAATTCACAAGTTTGAAAAGTTGTTGCAAGGGAGTTGGTTACAAATTTTGAGAATATTTTGTTGCTCAAACAAAAATAGCTGGGCTTGAAGAAGGGCCCGTCGCAATTAAAAAAGTATGGAGATGCGGGGTATCGATCCCCGTACCTCTCGCATGCTAAGCGAGCGCTCTACCATCTGAGCTACATCCCCGTAGTTGTTTACTATTGTAACACTTTGTACTCAACTTGTTTTATTATGTGCACTTCACAGAATCACACAAAACCGCAGCTGAGCAAGTGGCTCTCAGTAATTATTCTTTGAATATATCCAGAGTGAATTGTTGTTGAACTCACCAATACTCATCAATCAAGCAGAGGGGTGAAAGAGGTTATGAATGTGCTCGATGGTGGAAGCGTTTAGTTAACGCTCAACGCTCCTGAAATGAAACTGATGCAGCTCAACCTATGCCTGCAGACGAGACTCCCGAGCTTGTTTCCAGCTCCACTTCTTCGTCCGTTTAAAGACTTTCCTTTTTCTGTTTTTTCTTTTCTTTTTGTTAAGTTTACGTTTCTAGTTAGGAAAAGGAATGTCATCTTTTCCTTTAGGGTTATGGATTTCTTAGCTACTATATATAGGGATCTACTCAATTGTTAGAGACACAATTCAATTAAAAAAGTTTTCAGTTTCTAAAGAGTTCTATTGAACACTGCAAAGAGTATTTGCAACCCTAAAGAGTTCTAACGAACACTGCGAAGAGTATTCGCGCCTTATCTATCGTTTCTTCACCCTCAAGTTAGGTTTATAGCTTCCGCTCTCCATCAGAAACAAAGTCGATCAGTCTCTTGCTCCAGAGATCGTGATGCAAACCCATCAATTTCATTGAACCAAAGACATGATAATAGGTTTGATATTGGTGTATGAGTCCTTACAATAAAAGAACCTTCAGGTGCATCTCACAGTAACAAAGACACACCATACAACACATCAACAAAAATATACGTAAAAAGTGTAAATGTGATTGTTTAAGAGAGAAGTGAATGATTGATTTACTCACAACTTGAAAAGAGGAGAAGTAGGATCTGAAGGGTCAAATATTCTAACATAAACTGTTAATCGACGGCTGAAGGGTTATCTGCTAAAGGATAAAAGTATATATTTAACCTTTTTTGCTTGCAAGTCTTCATAGAAAATCAGAGTTTCCAAGTTATGCAAGAACAAGCAGAGACTACACAGTCCTATATGCTCTATCCTTTTCGCTCAAATCAAACCCATTGCTAAAACCATAGTGAGTTTTCTTATTTATCGCAGAGTACTTTACATGAAAAGTCATATGTCTTTACAAAGCTTAAACTAAAACGGCTTGAATTTTAAATACTCTTGAGACTCAAAAGTATGTGATTAACAGACTAAGTGCAACTTCACAAGGCAAATGTGTTAACATATATATAAACAACTTAGCTTATATCAATAAACAAACGCTAGCATTCACTGAAACTAGTATAAAACTTTACAGTGTTGGATATGTCAAAGCTCTGATTACGTGAACATATGAGTTTTCATGTAAGCTGCAGTTGATCAACATGAAGTTAATACAATAGTTCGTGTGGAAGATCTTTAGCTCACCACCAGCACCATGGAAAGACCTTGGAATGGCGGCGAGAGAGAGTGTATACAATAATGTTTGGTCGAGGCTTAACAAAAAAGAAAAGATTTGGTTATTTGTCCCACATCGCTAAACTATGAACTGTTCACTCTGGAAGCTTGTGTATATAAAGGGAGCTTGATGGACTGAGCAATTCATACCTTTCTCGGCCTTTTGGCTAAGATCAAGTGTAGTATCTGTTCTTATCAGTTTAATATCTGATATGTGGTCCATCGGACCACACGATATTAACTCTATTTTTTGAGGGAGAAAACCCATTAAGATAGCTTGCTATCTGGGTTTTCAAGAGTCGCCTTTGTCTTGCACTACTGCATTGGCTGGCTCAACCCATCAACAATGAAGTTCAACTTTTAGTGAAAAAACAATAGTTCACTTATTTGGAGATTGAAACGTTTATAACATTAGACAAGCACATTCAGTGTTTCCCAGCTTGTTCTGATTTCCTCTGTAGGTGAAGTTGTCTGGAACCTATAGACCGTATTAGCATTGCAGATTTGGTTCTCAAAATAATATGTTGTGTTTGAGATGCTGATGAAAACATACATAGATGTCCTGACACATGCTGTTAGAGATGCCAATGTCAGAATTACGTATTTGCTGGTAGGAGTTAGCTGGTTTCACTTGGGGACTTGAAGCATTATGTAAAACAGAACGTTTAGACTATTACCTATGTGATATGAGCTTTGTGAACTTCATGTTTATTTCTTCTCATGTTATGATACACTTGGTGTGTATTTGATGTTCAAGTTTTTTACATTAGCATATGATAGTTATTTCCTTTTCTCAATGAAAGATCTCAGTACTAACAGGGTAACAAACAACTAGTAAAACTATAAATCAGAAATCAACTATTACCATTTTGTTGTGAAATTACAGATTGTAGATTCGATACACATCATCAGTTCCTGAACCGATGCAAGGACCATACAAGATTCTTCTCTTTATCATGTGACTCATTGGTAACCCTTCCACATCAAAGACAATGAGATGTTACACCACAAACTCTGAAGGAAGGAAGTAAATAAGAATTTTCCTCAGACACCTTTTGAAACATGGCCAATCAAAGATGAGCATTTTGTTTTGTTCTGCCTTTTCTTGACACAAATGTTCTTCTTTTTTTTTTTTTGCTTTTGATGTTCTTTTCTCCTCCACATATGTATTTGTATCTTGATTTGATAACTCAAGCGTAGGTCACTTTGGGTAAGATCAGTCTTTTTACCATCGTGAGTTGGCTACAAAGACATACATCATTTTTTTTGGAATTTATTCTCTAATTGATAAGAGGCCCTCTTCTCCCTCAGTATGAGGGTCAGATCAACGCCATCATTACGAGCTCTGCACCCGCATCAGATCAATTAGCGTGGCTGTCAGATAAATCAGGATGCTACACCACAAAAACAGGATATGGGCTGGGAATGACAAGCTCCGTTAACCTCCCTCTTGATCAGGCCTCTTTCAACTGGAACAAGCAAATATGGAACATCAAAACGTCTCCAAAAATCAAAGATTTCCTATGGAGATTAGTTAACAAGGCTATTCGGGTAAGCTCAAATCTGGTTCGTCGAGGTATACAAGGTTTTAACTGCAAGACCTGTGGCGGGATAGAAGACGACCTCCATGTATTCATAAACTGCAGCATTGCAGAGCAAGTCTGGAGCCTAACTCCTTTGGTTACTATACCAACAAGCTCTATCACGTCGATAGCCTCCCTCATATCTCTGTCTCCCTCGTTTACTAACCTCCCTCCTGTAGGACTGACTGTCCCTTTGTGGCCATGGATCTTATGGAACATATGGAAGGCAAGAAACAAACGCAGCTTCGAGAACAGAGTCTTTTCCGGAATGGAAATTATCATAAAATCCATCTCTGATGCTAGAGAATGGCAACTGGCTTTAGACCCCCCACCAATCTTTGAGGCGCCTCCACGCTCCTCCTTCATACAAAGAAACCCAACATCGCGGGCGGCTCCACTGGCTACCTTAGTGTGTAATGTAGATGGAGCTTGGGACTCTACCACGGGATACTGCGGAACAGGGGGTGTCTTCTCAGGTTGTAGCGACCTGCTGCCGATGGACAACATCAGTAGCTCGCACAAGTATGTATCTTCGGCGTTAATGGCTGAATGCCTCGCCATCCGTTATGCGGTTATGTATGTCACCTCGTTGAATATTTAATCCCTGATGATCCTGTCTTATTCTCAATCCCTGGTCAAATTATTGAAGGATGGAGGTTCGGTACGAGCTTTGTTCGGTATTTTATTTGACATCTATCATTTTAGCGCTATGTTTGACGTTATTTCCTTTTCATATGTATCTCGAGTTAGTAATGGGATGGCTGATTCCGTGGCAAAATCAGCTCTCCAATTGCTAAACTCCTCCGATCATGGAGTTTAGACGATTTAGTTTTATGAATGAATGTGTGTTTGATTAAAAAAGATAAGAGGCCCTTTGG